ACAACAGCAAAAAGAGACAGAACTTATATTCTAGTGATTTATGCTTATCTCATCCACACAAAACCACATTTTCATGATGAAAATCTGGGCATGAATAGGCCAGACAATTTTCAGGGGCCCCACTCTCTCCAGCTGTAAATGGGATATGGTCATATTTTCTGGTGCTTAACTTAACAGTTTTGGAATACTATTTATCTGAAATTCCACAGAATTGCAATTCAGTAACAGGAAGAAGATAAAACAATCTAGAATTTTCCAGAGTTTGAAATATTCTGGAATGTATCCAGTAGAACACTGGACTGTTCAGTTAAAAAACAAACTGTTTAGTAACTGGTTATTATATTAAATCTACTGTAGGCCTAGCACTTTCTGTGGTCAGAGAGTGTGTGTGTGTGTGTGTGTGTGTGTGTGTGTTACAAATAAGAGGCTGAGGGGAAAACATAGTATATCTAAGTTCCTTTCTCGAAGGAGAAACAGACTAAAGAAACAGAAAGTCTTAGAAGACTCAAAGTCTTCCTAAAGAGATTCAAGAACAAACTAAAAGTCAGAACTTAGAATTGTAAGTCAGTCTAGATTCAAATACATATGTAAAGAAAGTGCTGATTATCTGGAAAGCAAAGTCTTAAGGATATACTTCACCACCTAGACAAGAAACATTGGACCAAAGAACAAAAGTGAGGATATCACTTAGTTAAGCCACCAACCACAACAGTCTTATAATAAAGTTATTGGATATTTTTTCCTCTTTTAGAAAAGGAAATATTACCAACCAGGTTTAATTGTAGTGAATAAACTATATGAGTACTTATCTGATACCCGTTATTTGAAAAGTAACAAAATCATACCTACCACAAAATATCTCCTATACTGACTTGCAAACAAGCTTGAATTCACAGATATGAAGTCATTCTCTGAGTTTAAAGAATTTATTTCAAAAGACTTCAATGAAACGCACTGGTACCAAAGAACATAATGCAATGGCTTTTTTAGAAATTAAGTTAAGTACTGAAAACATTAACATTGTTTTACAAACACTCATTAACCCGTGTTGAGTTATTTATAATTGCCTCAAACTCTCTAATTCATACTCATAATTACTCCCCCAAATTAGCTAACATCCTCAAAGGCAAAATCTAATTCAGTCAATTCTAAACCACTGAATCTGTGGTCTTGGACTTATTTTCCTATTTTAACCAGCCTGGTTCTGGCCGATTGCACCACTCATCAGATCAAAGATTTTGGGTGGAAAAGAACCTTAATGTAAATGTTACTTCTGGAAATCACACTGTTCCCTTTACTGGAAATGCTCTTCCCCCAGATCTTTACTGGGCTCTCTCCCTCACTGCTCATACGTCCTCTCTGTCCATATGTCATCTCTTCATGTTATCCTTCTATGCACACTCTTGTCACTATCCAATCATTCTTTGCCCCTTGACCAATTTCATTTTTCTGCATAGCTCTTATCATAGCTGGGATTATTTTATAATTTATTGATTTATTTCTCCCTTGCCCTCTGGAATATAAGCTCCAAAGGGACAAGAATTCTAATCTCTAGAACATAACCAGTGTTTGGCACATAATAGGTGCTAAGTTAATTCTAGGTGACTATTTAATTCGCTGAGTAACTGTTCACGTAAGATGAAATAAGTGAAAATATAATAAATAAATGAGAATACAATAAAGTATCCCTGACTTAAGGATGAAACTTTCTTCAAGAGTGTGGCATAAAAAAATATAGTATCTGCTAAATTGCTTTTGTTGTAAAGGAAGAGATAGTATGTCTAATATTTGATATGATCCTGTACTGCACTCGAAAGGTTGAAGTTCATAGTGAAAAGTTCTAGGTTATTACTGTCTACTAGAGATAACTATCAAGCCACAAATGGGAGCCAAATGTATAATTTTAAACATTCTAGTAGTTACATTAAAAAAGAAACAGGTGAATTTACCTTTAATAATATATTGTACTTAGCCTAGTATGTCTAAAATAATATCATTTCAACATGTAACGTATATTAAAAATTATTAATGAATTATTTTACATTCTTTTCTATTTGTACTATTACATATATTCAAAATCCAGGATGTATTTCATACTTTCAGCACATCTCCATTCAGACTAGTGTTTAGTAATCACATACGGCTAGTGGCTAGCATGGTGGACAGCACAAATCTAGGTAATAACTATCCACTCTGGGTATGGTTAGTATTCTTCGAATGTGCTTTTCTTTTTTGCACATTCTTTTATGCAACATCCCCTGTACTTTGATTGTGACAACCATTACCTCAGAGAGGATTAGGATTATTACTATAATGAACGAATGAAAAAGAAAAAAAAAATCAGTGTTCATCTTTCATAGACAGAATGCATTGCTTAATTTTATTCTTCTAAAGAAAGAACCTACATAGAGACAGAGAAGAAAACTGAAAATTAGCCTCACTTAGTCTGCCAAGGGGTTTGCTGGAACATAAGGCAAATGGACCAAGAGTTCATGGGTTGAGCAGCCCAAATGTGGGCACTGCACAGAAAGCAACGCTGAGTCTTTGAAACAACCAGAGCCCCCCTGAAATGTGAGGTGAAGAGCCCAGGCAGCAGGGGAGGTCAAACTCATAGCGAGCCGAGCCCAGAAGGCCCCCTGCTCAGGCTGAGAGCAACCATCACCTGTTGCTATCATGTTAGTTAATGTTGTTTTCCTGTTTGCTCACATGGAAGGGAACATGCTCACACTGAAGAGAAATCCCAATAGACTGGGTCTTTCCCTAAAAGATCCCAGTTTACACGATTAATCGAGCAAGTTCAAGTTCCTCCCAGCCCCCTCCCCATCTGTGAAACAACAGCTTAATAACAAGATGAGCTATTACAGAGAGTGAGGAAAATTCTGTTTTCTATCCTCCATTCCTTCCTTCCCTTGGCACATCTCATCAGTGGCATATAATTTTTAGCTTAATTAGAACCAGAAACTGAGTAAGTACTGGACAATGAAAATAACACATTCATGAGGGACTGGTCAGTTGAAAACAAAAATGCTAATCTCAGCAGACCAGGATGTAAAGCTATGAAGATGATGAGCTTACAGACTTCTTCAAGTGATCCAGAACAGGGCTTCTCAAATGTAATGTACATATCTAGTCACCCCAGGAAGTTGTTAAAATAAAGTCTGATCTGTAGGTCTGAGATGTGGCCTGTGACTCTGCATTTCTAGTAAATACACAGGCGATGCTAGTGCTGCTGGTCTGAGGCCCACACTTGAGTGCCAAGTCCTAGACGATGAGCACATCACAAACTTCTCACAAGCAGCTGTTAAAGACCCCACCACAGGAGGTGACTCTCAAGGATTAGCTGTACGTGGATAAAAGTATGCAAGAAAGTCATCAGGAAACTGACAATGCAAGCAAGGTGGAAAGAGAAGTTTCTAAGAGTGAGGATGTACAGACACCACGGATTGGTGGTCTTGTGAACAAAAACCACAGAGCTCAAACCGAGCCCATTTCCAAGCTGCAGAGAGGTCAGTGTGTCTCACAGGATGCTGGGTCCAAGGGCTGGCAATGTCCA